CTCCAACCGAAATTTTTTTTAAATCTGGCTGCAATACTGACTGTAAAAAGTCGTCTCCTATCTGATCTTATCTTGAGAAGTTGTACTCCTTTGCAATAGCTTCTGAAATAGATGTTTCACTCTCAATTTTTCTCATTTTTACTGAATAAGTTACTACATCAAAAGGAGTTGAATTGGAGTTGACAAAATGCATCAACTCCAACTCCAACGCAATTCCGCTCCGAATGAACTTAACTCCACCTATAAATTAATAAAATCAACTCCAACTCCACTCCAACTCTAGTGAAAAAAAGTGGCAACTCCGCAGTTAACTCCAACTCCGAGTTGGAGTTGCCCATCTCTGTGACAAAATAATAAAAAGGAAAACGTGCACGAAGAGTGTGGGCGTGGATGAAGAGAAGACCAATACCGGCACCAAAACCCATCCTGAAAGTGAATTGATAATATATATATATGCATTTGATAATATACTGCTTGAACAAATTTATTTAAAAGAAGATGTCGTTTGAAACATCAATACAAGTATTTAAATCTCCCATCTATAATATATTTAATTAGAGTTAGATCTTGGATACAGATTTATAAGACCTTGACTGAAATACACAGGACTCAAAGGCAATCACTAAAACCCATTTCGGAATTGACTCTAAATACTTTTAAAATAGCTTATCTAGTGCAAAATTTGACGTTGAATATGAATCTGAGGTCAGATTTCCTCTACAATCACAGAGCAATAAGTTAGAGGCTAATACTCAATTTAAAAAACGCTGGAAATGATAAACCCTGATGAACACCCTTGAATGAAGATTATGTTTGCTTTAATAATTTGCCACAATTTAGTCCTAATCATTGGTAAAATAATCTTTAGTGAGTATAATGCAATCAAGATCTTGCCCGAATTCTTAATATCTTGGATAATAAATGTCACATTTTTATATTTCACTCGCGTCAGACTCATCTGTATCCTTGATCTATTCAGTTTTCTGCATACAAACTAATTTAATTCGATGACCTTATTATCAACTCTACTTTCAATTAAAGGTCTTTGTCTGCAAATTGTGATATTCTTCGAAAGTTTCAAATCAAGCTAGGTGTACGATTTCAATAAAATCAACAACAAGAAGAAAACCATCTCTCTATTTCACTACATGTTCATTTTAAAACTGAAATCGATGACAAAACCGCATTATTTCTTCATTTTATGCGTTCAGAAATCTAAATGCATGATCATTTACTTATCATGAAAGGTGTTCCAGTATATAGACGGTAACGCCCTGCTAATATTTTCAAATGTCTTAAATTAGAAAGGATTTAATCATGAATTGTTTTGACAGCAGTATCAGTACATAACAAATGTTTAAGACTAATTGTCGATGATCGAATATTATTGTAAATACAAGGTAAAACATCTGAATATAATCATTTGAGAAGTAACTTATGAGGATAATGATGATAATCAAAACTTAGATCGATAGAATAACATTTATCAAGAACAAGTTGTTCCAAACGATGATTTCCGATACTAATAATAGAACATAGCAGTATCGCTTGAGGTTTGATTTTATTAAATATGATTAAGATCATTTCATTAGGTAAGTCGAATAATTTGATAATATTTTCTATTGGAAAAAAATGAAAAAGATAATTTGATTAAATAATTACATACAACTATTTGATAAATCATTCATTATTAATTCGACACATTCATCGATATGGGATCAACATATTTTTTCATATTTATATATGAGTATATATTTGCGGTGATGAACATTGACTCAATGAGAACCAATGACAATTGAGTAGAGTAAGGAATTTTATTCTGATAACAATTATTTAATATGGAAAATAGCTGATAAAATATATTATATATACTATGATGAAAATCACTAGCTCCAATAGTTTTGACAAACATTATCTGGTCGAAATCAAGTTAATCACAATCGTCAAAATTGTTTGATTCATAAAGAAAACAGTTTTGTTTGGGTGTCGAAGATGGCTTTCACTCTTTCTTTCATACACCAACAACGAACTCACATTTCCAAGTTTAGCCCAAAACATCACACAACCAAATCCTGCGACTATGAATTTCGTCTTCTCGCTATCAAAGATAATGAAATAACAAATAATCATACCAGATAATTCCTAGTCAGTTCTTTGCACACATAGATTATCTTTAACAAAGTGTAGAAATCAGTTCGAGCCTATTTATATATGAGTTATCGCCTATAAACGTTTATACAATATTGATTTCCCTATCGAAAGAAGAACTTAAATTGTTATATATCGAAAAACAATCCTCATTCAACGAAATATACGAACTTATATCATTATGTATGCCAATATATACATATAATATCAATCAGGATAAACAAGAAGCATTAAAAAAAAGAAACGAGTATCAGTTAGTTTGAACTTCTGCCTGTCAAATTTTTTTTAATAATTTGTGGGTCATTTGTCGGCTGTTGACATTCTTCAATCATTTTTATGATTGAATAAATGTTTCTCAAGCACGATTATGTATGAATATTTGTAGCACATTCATATTAATGATAAGATAATGTCATTATCGATGTTCAATAATCTTTGTCAAAATATTTGGAAATGAATAGGAGAACATGTTGTCTCATTACGCATAAAATTCAAGAACGTTGTTGATGAATGATCACTCATTTCATCGTCTCTTAAATTTCATCAGACAACAATATTACTTCAATGTCTTCATCTAATCGATATTAAACCACATGAATTTGATAAATTACGATGCCACCATGTAACAAAACAAATACATACTTTATTAACTGATGTGGCACTGCCTAGTCCGTTCAATGACTTTAAGGTTGAAGTAGTTTATCTAGCTGAATAATGGTCTGTCAATAAATGAAAAAATAAAAGTACAAAATTGATACGTAGATGATTTCTAGAACATCCTTTGTATGAAATAAGGGATTTAGAATAAACTAATTTACTGATTATATTTCATTAAAGTCAACATTCAAATATAATTCAAATGTCTATGAGGAACAAGAAATGTTTGAATTTCAATCTATTTGTAAAGTAGTTGGATAATTGTATGAAATAAACAGACGATAAGTTATGCTTTGCGTCTTTCTGATACAAAATATTTGAAGAAAAAAAAACAGACTTTTCTAATACTTGTTGTTTAGTGATTGTGAAACTACGTAGATTACGATAATCATATAGAATATTCAATTTGAAGACTAGAACTCTTCTGATTTTTCGTTATTTTCACTGAAAAATACCATAAAAAATCTGCTATTTGTGGAGAATTCAAAGACATATTTTCTGTTATCTGATGGAAAAACAGAACAACTATTATGAAATATTGATCCATTGAGAAAAATCTATAGTTTGCTTAGTGTTAATCAGTCGAAATGTTGTTTAATAATTAAGTATTGAAAATTCGTACGTATAAGAAATTATTGTTTATTAGTAATATAAGAGAATGAAAATTTTTCTTTAGAACTCTTTTTAATATTTGCAAAATATAAACTTTTCGAAATAGATAAAACAGATATAAATTTCTCAGTATCAGTTATTAATTGGTATAGTTTAGCGGTGTAGAGACATTACGGATATTATTAGACTAAGTCAAGAATAGACTATTTTATGTCAGTTCAGGAGGAAAAAAATAGTTTTAATGTCGGGATTTGACAAAATTTGACTAAAAGAAAGTTCGAAATATTTCTCTATCATTGTCTATCAGTTTCAATGCTTCGTTGTTATACTGTGATCCATTAAATCGTCGATATCCTCTCTTTGGAATGCTCATTCTCATATACGCTACATCTGTCTCTTTTATTTCAACCACGTTCAAAAATAAACAACGGTGCTAGTACAAATTCCAGTTGCAACGTGATTGGTCTTGCATTGCCCATGTCTACATTATATATGGTCAACTTAAAAGTTGAAACTTCAAGAGTAATTGCTTAGTTGAATTCAACTTTCAAGTTTATTACACTCTTAACTGCAGAATTTCTCGAATCACTGCCTGCTATTCGAAATTCTATTTTTTTGAGTTTAAAGATTTTCTATTTTATAATGAATGAAATCACCCTGCAATCTATTTTCAAGAGATAAAACTACAGTGACAAAGTTTTGTGGAGCAATCCCTTATCGGCTAGTAAATTAGTTTACTCTAGGATTCCGCAGTTTCTATTGATTGAAAACTTTTGGTTCGACTGATGTCCTGGCAGAGAAGAAAGCTTTAGAATAGGCTCGCGAAAGGTTGTGCAGGTGGAGTATAGGTGTAGATCGCTTTGAGCATGGATGAAGCGATTGTACACCTATACTCAGATCCCAAATTCGATTACGTCTTCATAGTTATCTTTCGTCATTCATTTCAACTCGAAGGATATAGATTAAACTCACAATTGAACCAAAGCGTTATAAAACGCAAAAAAAGAACGAATCTAGCATTCTAAAACATTTAATATTTTCCCTTCCAGACTTTATATTTAATCTGATGTTTCTTGTCAATCATATTCGTTAATAAAAGTCGCAAGTTACTCCCTGTGTTTCGTAATACAATAAAATCAAGGGAAATATTATGGAGAAACGATTTATGATCAACAATGAGCTTAATCAGATTTCGTACCATTATTCAAGTTATATATTTATATCTATTGAACCAATGTTGAACTTTGTTTTGATATCTTAGTATGGGAAATAATGGATACTGATTAAAGCACGTTATGTTAATTGTTATTTTTAAAAAAATATTGAATTCTCTTTGTAGTACTTTGCTATAAGCTTACTTATTCTACCACAATCGAAATTACAAAGAATAGATTTTAAAGCTTGGTATTTATTAGCGAATATTTGAATACGTTTAATAAGCATTTTGAGTATCAAGTCTTTTTTTCAATAGAAAGAAAAACAAGATATATATATGTCTAGAAGAAAACTCAAACAGATTGTAAAAATAATAAAAGAAATTGAGATTGAATGAACAAAAAATGTTTATGCATGAAACTTTCTTTTCACTTTTGACTCGTTATATTTTGATTTTTGATAATGTCAAGAATTTCACTTTGAGTAAGTTGACGAGCGTAAAATCTAAAGTCATTAATAGTTCCTTTCCACTGAGCTCGTATTAAAGAATCAAAACAAGGCCACTTATTCGGCAGTGATTCATCGATCATTGGTGTACCTAATGTCATATCAAGTCTATATGTAATGCTAATAGTACTGGTGTTATTGTACAATCCACTCAACTGACCATTAATGTAAAGAAAGATTCCATTTGTCGGTGAATCGATCACTGTTATGTGAAACCATTTGGCCATTTCAAATTGAGTCGTGTCATTACTAGTAGAAACTGTAAGGCCGATCTGAGAACGTAAAAGTTCATAATGGAAAACATTATATTGCCAATAAAAATAAGAAAAACAACTATAGTCAAGTGCACCAAGTGAAGTTTTAGCTTTTAGTTCAAAAATCAATATTGATTGGTTATCCATTAACAAGTCAATGTCAGAAATACGAATCCAAAATGCAATTGAATATGTATAATCATTCAATTGAATAATAGTAAATTCTGAAGCTTTGAAAAATGAAGTTGTTGTATTAAAATAAAGTCCATCTTCAATATAATATACATTTTGACTGTAAGCTTTTATTGCATTAGGACCAGAATCATCATGTATATTACTGGAATTTTTGAATTGATAGTGAAAAAGTAATGATGCTTCACGTAATAATTCAGTTGCACTTTTCAGATGGTATGATATTGAGATTTGATCAAGCATTGTTTGAGCATACAGAAAGACACTAGTATTTGAAGAAATAGGTCCACCAATACGTGTTGTTCCATTTCCTACAAACTTATTTAAATCTTCGGTTCCAGTCAGATTTTTTGAACGATCAAAATAACCATTGATATAAATTGATATAATACCTGCTGTAGAATCGAATTGAAACGAAAGATAGTTCCATTGACGATCGATGCCATGCTTGGAAAAAAGACGATTGACTGCATCTGAAACATACTATATCAAGCAAATATTTGTCTATCAATGACGTGCCATATTCGATTTAGTACACCAGTTTTTAGTAGTATTAACTTCTAGAGCTAAATCTCATGAAATGATGTGAAAATCCAGTTAAATATTATTTACTATCTTATTAGTGGAGTATATCACCATGAAGTCATAAAATTCGTATATTACTCAATGTTCTCGAGTCTCGTTGCAGATTGCTGTAGTAACGATAATAGATTTACACGATGTATGAATACTTTCTCACATGACAGAAGTATTGTTGAATTTCAATATAGTTGTAGCTCTCCTAAGCCTAATTCTAAGTGTTATCTCAGTTTAGATGAATTTACCAAAATAAGATTGTTCATTTTGTGCTAACGACATGAAAACATTTCGATCCGATATACCCATTGTAAGACAATCGTATGGATAAAGATTCATATCACAATTATTGAATATAACTGTGTCACCCCACAAGTAGGCATAGCCTATCCACATACTAATTGTAAAACTTGTTCGTTTTGAAAATTGAAGTGAATGAATTATATCAACATATTGTTTTTTATTTGAATCTAAATTTAATGCTTTGCCTTGACCAGAAAAATCTGGATTGACATAAACTATATTATTGAAAGTTATACCGTTGTACATTTCTCCAATGTCATCGGTTACACTTGAACAATCAAAAGACCAAAGAATATCTGCTGTGATCTTGAATTGTCTAGATTTGCACACTAAATAAAGTAATTGTTAAATTGTGTTTCAAATAGAAATCAAAGGAAACATACCTGATGCAGTGATAGAAGAACTTTTTCTTGTACCAAGAACAGCACCAAGGATGACAGCAGTAATGCATATAATCATAAAGATACTTATGCTAAATATGCAGGTTTTTGTTTTGTACCATGGTCGCCCTATTTCCATCTTTGGATAGAGATGTGCACCTATATTTTGGAAGATAAAAATTGTGATCAGTCGTAAATTTATTCAATAAGAGATACCGTTGAAAGGAGGTGCAAGTAGAATTTCTTGAGGTATTTTCTGTTTCAAATGAATTATATAAAGATCTGATGCTGGATGTAATTGTGATTGAACTTCCATGTATGTACCAGGAAGAAGAAGTATTTCATCTTCAGTATCAAAAGCTGAATAGGACTCGATTGATTTTCCATTGATTGTTTCAATTGAAAATAATGTTCTTTCACCAGCAGCACCCAAATAAAGGTCTGATTCAAGCACTTGAAGTGAAGTAGTACATGATGAAAAAGACCACCATACTACTTGAGAACCAGGAGAAAAGTCTGCACTAATATTTCTTTTCACACCACGCCAAACAACTTGAGCTGGAGCAAAAGGTAATTTAGCCAGAGCAGTTAAGAAAAGTTTTAAATATAAGTACCACGGTCGAAGTTGTTCTCGATCAGATGTATTTCTGAGGATTTTATTTAAAATACTGTAAAGACTACTTTTTTCGTTATTCCATTCCATTGTATAGAGATAGATTGCTGCTAATTCGTCTTGTGTAAGACCATCTTTTGGTTGTCGACATTTTTCAAGGGCAGTTTCTATGTAACTTGCCACATCAGAAACGATCGAAGATAAAGGTAAACATGCATCCCGCAGAGGAAGAAGAGGTTCTAGAACATAGTCAATGATTGGAAGGAGATGTTTTTGAGAATCATCAACTATAGTTTTTGTGAGAAGACGAGGATTTTTACGACGATTGAATTGGACATTAATAGTTGAATTTGAACTAGATATATGTCCTTCTTCTTCTATGGTGAAATCATGAGACCAATCTAGCATAGCAATCTGATCACCATCTGGATGACGCATGATTATTTTTGCTCTGAAATGAAAATTAATCGAGTTAAAATAGACTTAATCTAGGAGTGTTGGCTTAGCATTAGCATTGCAATAATTTAATACTTTTTTAAATACTTTTGCATTATTATTAAAAAGAATACATTAATTCTTTTGTGCTAGTATTGAAATAGTTAATGAACACTTTGGCATTAGTTAATACTAATGCTCACGAAAAATGTATTAAATAATGCAAATTTGGTATTAATTTTAATTCAATGCTAATACAAAAGTATTAAATAATTCTTTTAACGCTAATAGCAAAAGTATTACATTTTTTTTTCTTAATTCTAATATAAGAGTGTTAGCGTTTTCCTAAAACTAGTGCTAAGCCAGCATCTCTAACTTAATCACATCACAAGATATGAAAAATATCTATATTTGCAAACGTAATAAGGTGAATAAACTGCATTGTGTACAAGCACGTTATTATCAACTTTGCAATACTCTATTTGAATGTTGTGTGTATTATAGAGTAGAGTAATTAATGATGACGTATATGTGTAGCAGCTAGATAAAATTAACAGGAAAAGAAATGAAAGAGAATGATCAATAATATTTGATTATATTTATTCATACTCATTGACGTCATACTCTCTTATACACACACGAATATTAACAGAAATATCGTTTTTTATATAGAAAAAGAAATACTATGGTGAATGTATATTTTGATCATAGAAGATGATAGTGCGTGAGGTAGAGCCGATTGGATGAGAACTTGACAATTTTTACTGATCAGATCCGGATGATTTGCCAAGATTTTTTTTGATTAAATTATTAAATTCGTTCTTCCTTAGCAATAAATTCATACTATTTTCTTAGTTTTCAATGCATATAATTCAGTAAAAAGTAAAATAAATGTTATTACTCATGAAATAGTTGCCAAACAAAAATAAACCAATCATAATTTAATCATTATAAGATCACTATCGGATTGTTTAAAGAATATACAGATTTTATTACTTGTCGAACATCAAAAGTAAAAAAGTATATCGTACATACCATCGGAGGAACTATCAGATTTGCATTAGAAAATTTTATTAAGAGCTCTAATGATACAATTTGAGTTTAGATCCACAAAAGACTAATCAATCACATCCGAATCCAGAAATTTTTAGAATTAATGAGCTCTAGTGTGTGAGTGTGGATGTCAGAAATAGTGAAGTGAATATCGACACTCACACCTTACTGTTTTACAAATAATATATAGATCAGGAGTGCAATATAGTTGAAAAAAGATCCACACATCCACATTCATGATAGAAACGGAGGAAGAACACATATAATCGATAAATCCTATCAGTATCACTGTCTTACTGTCCTACTATCATATGTTTAAAATCAATATGAAAAGAGATAGAAGATTACAAGAAAAATTCGTGTATATGTGTGGATGTGACAATGTTTGTAAACATACATATATTTAGTCTGACGAAGGCAAAATCGTTGTCGAAACGTAACAAAGCAATAAATAAGTATATAATATCAATATTAAAGAAGAGCTCGAAAATAATCACATTTTAAACTCAATATGACCTTTCGGAAAACCAGAAATAATTACTTGTTTACAGTCATGACTTAGTCGAGCATATAACCGTTTTTCTTCTTCATTCTTTTCAAAAGAAATCTCTTTTTTATGCATTATATTCACAAGAAAAAAAAATGCTGTTGGCACAATCTCTAAGATATGAAAATATGAAACATGATTGATCGATGTATTTTGTGAATCAAGAGATTCTACAACATATGCTTCAGTTTGGAACTTCCAACGTATTTGACATGTCCACGTTGAAAGATTTTATTCTTAACATATTATAGAGATGTACAGGGTAAGATTAGAACTACTTAGAAACTTTCTCTCGGTCATGGTATAGAGTATAAAAAAAGCTTATTCTGTACATCTATCATATGTTGCCGTGAGTTTGGAAATGTAGCCTAAATTATGTATCTTAAATTCAATCTTCTTTCATAATTAATCCCACCAAAGAATTTAGTTCTATGGCTATGTCTGTTACATCTCTGGAGGATTTCGAATTTCTAGCTTTATAGTTCAATACTCCGTTCATATCGTGTTTTACAAAAACTCTAATTTTAACTTACTCGATTTATTTCATATTTACATGTACTTTACGTGCTATTACTTCAGTTGTTTCTTGACATTTAAGTTATAATAGCAACATTAAATATCATTAATTCCATAGTGAAAATAACGTCGTTTTTCTACTTGTAATCTCAATTTAAGTTCTTGTATGAATAATCTGATCTTTTCCTCAGAAGAAAATATTCATGAATGAATTTTTTAAAGTAAACAGTTTTTTGTAACGTAAAAATTTCGAATGATTTGTTTTTTTTGTAACTCTCGAAATTGATGTAATATGCGGACTGTTATAGATAAGATATTTAAAATGTAAATTTCACTATTTTCTTCATCTTCTCAACGGTATGAAATTATTCTACTGATTCCTATTATACTATATCAGGCTTTTAAAGTAAATATTTTATACTTCCTTTTTGTTGTTGTTCTTCAAAGTATATCATTTGTTGTGTTTCAATTTATAGTTTTTTGCCGACGCCTTCTCTCATATACAATCTATGATTACTTGTTGCAAAATCAAGTATCTAAAGAATTTACTAATTTTTGTTTTTATTGATCTTTAAAAATTACCATTTAATATATAACTCTTTACTTACAGATGACTTTTCTGCATAACGTGAAAATGTTGCATATTGCCAACTGGTTAGACGTCATGTCACTTAATTTTATATAAAAAAAAATTTAGAATGTATAAGATATTGTTTGTTTACTTTTTACTTTCCTATCACGAGCTGCATTTATTCATTCGAATACTATATCAACAGTTATTGAAGCTTCCTGTTTTTGAATATATGAGGGAAAATATCGGAAGAGCTTTTAGAAAAAAAATTGTAGCAAAGCATAAGATGATAGACAAGTCACTGCAAAAGTAATATGAATGTATAGGCATAGGCGGCGAAACGATTTCAGTCTAGGGTGAGCTCAACTTTCTATCCAAACCAGGTCGAGAAGCGGGTTGAAAAGTGATGTTCTTTATTTGTTAATAATGGTAAGCGCTATATGTTTTCTTGCTAGATTTTAATTCTGTGGAAGTAATTAGTTATGATAGCTGTAATGTTTTATTGTTTCAACACAAGATAGGCGCTAACGAAGTAAAAGAGAAATGCTTCTTAAAAAAACAATAAGAAACAGTCCAAGAAGACGTATAAATATTGAGCACCAAATTATTTTTTTCTATTTTGATTCTTAGAAATAAACTCAGGACCGAAGCTGTTCAAATCAAGTAAATCTAATTTTTCTTTATGAATATGTGGAATAGTAACAAAATTTAAACATTGTTGAGTCATTCCAAAGCATAAATATTTTTTATTCAATTTATTACACTGAATAGCAAGCGAACTTTGCTCCAAACTATCGTTGATCTTTTTCTTTTTATTGTGAAAAAGACACATAATTTTGCTTTGTTTAGTCGGCATTAGTGTACACAACTATTAATGTCATTCAAGTATCTAAAATTCAAAATTTATTTTAAACAGAAGTTTAAAACAACAATTAAACTGTCTTATATTAAGTCCACCTCCCTTTGAAATTTGCTTTTTTCGAAAAATAATCGAAGTTGAGTTTTTATGATAGAAATATGCGGTGAAGTGTTCTCTCTTAGAATGTATGTGACTTTTTGAAAAAAGTCAAATATTAATAGACTTTCGGAGGATATTTTCATCCCACTACCCTGCTTTTCGAGAGATTTTCGTGGGTTTTTGTCTTTGGCAAGACTGCCTTTCTTGCTTGCATTAGCATTTAATAAACATTTGCACATAATTTAAGCACAACCCATGGTGCTAGCTTACGTCATGTTTTGCATGCTTTTAAAAATTCCACTGAAATAGATTACGAATATGCCTTTTTCTGGATTTGAATAAAAAAGTCCATTTCTAAACTTATTTTACCTTTTTCTCAGAACATGGTTTTCAATCAGAAAAATAGAAATAACTTCTACCAGGCTCAAACTATAAAGTATTTATTTCTTTTTGTTTTAAAGGTTTAAATAAGAGTAAACATTTGTCTGACCAGATTTTTTTGTAGTTGGCATTGTTTTTGTTTATTTTAGCAGTATATTTAATAAAATGATCATAAAAAATGAGCAGAAGCGAATTTCAAAATTATGTCCGATGAGAAACTGCGCACAAGTATTGACTTTGATTGGAAATCATCACGAGGTCTATACCTCTTGCAGTGAGTGTGGGTGTTGGTTTGGGGCGTGTCCTCTCTTCACCCACACCTACAGCCACATCGTCAGTGAAAATTCTGCTATTCGAAGCAGCTGAAAGTGCAACTTCTAAAATTTTCAAGTTGTTTTAGGATATACCAAGAAATAACTTTGATCACAATCATTCAACATATTTTCATTGACTCATTCATCTTTACGAGGAGTTTCGATACTCGCTTAGTGTCGAATTTCAATTGAATCTTTGGGTATTAGTGTCAGTAACATTTCACAATAGTTCAGCTATTTATTTTTCGCAGAGATGGCGTGAAGTCCCAAACATCGGAGGGGGATCGTCCATGGAACATCTCTATGGCAACCAATGCATGGAAACATTTTTGAATTTCATCAAGAAAAAGTGAAATTTTTCCAGGACGGAGGGGCTACCCCATTTCAATGGTAACATCTCGATTTCTTGTGCTTTCAATAGAGCTCCTTATTGACTCAACAAAATGTATGAAACTAAAGATTGATCAACATATCAGCTTTAGCTTATGATTACAATATCTTATTTTATTTGCGTCTTTGGTATCGTGAAATATAACACTATGAGGCAATACTGATCTTGCACTTTCGTCAGTCAATCATACGAAGGAAAGTATAACATATAAAAAAGAGGTAATTCGATCTTGGTGAGTACACATAACGCTTCTTCTTGGACTGTTTTCTTCGTGTAACAAAGTCATGCCTGCTGGGCGATATATAAGTTCTGCGAGAAAACGAGAATGTCTCCGTCAAATTGGTCCTATTGAAACGAAAAGATGTTTTATATCGTCGTCTTCTTCATCGTTCTCTTGAGTACAAGTATTGAAGCTGACAGGGTGTCTCGACAAATTCGATCCTATACAAATCCTCTAAATAAGCAATCAGTTGATGTCTTTTTAGTGGCTGACGTATCCAATCGAAATATCAATCGAGCGGAATTTGAGTTCTTGAAGAATGCCCTCATTCACACTTCGGAAGCTTTACTCAAGGGCCATCCACGAATTACTATCCTCTTCTATGGAGCATCACGAAATGTCGATATTGTCTATGCGACAACCGGATACGATTCATTTACTGCGGTTCAACAAAAATAGGCCAGAAGCAGTATGCCGTAAGTTCATCTAATTCATCTACATTGGCTATGGCTCTCGAAGAAGTCAATCGCCTCTGCACCACATCATGTCGATCACATGATGTGCCACGAGTGACTGTGGTTGTCACCTCTGTGATGCAGCCGATGGACGGACTCATTGAGGCGCGATTAACCGAAGAAGAACATGGGATGACAATTATCACAGTCGGTATTGGAAATAAGCTAAACGTGACACTATTATCATTAATAGCCTCAGAACCACATCATATTCATGTTCTTCAAGTCAATAGCTACTTAGAATTATCGGCTATTGGTGGAGCACTCAGCAGTATCATCTCCTATGTACCACGATTTCTCGAGGTGGGCGAACAAATGACCATCTCGAGTACAACCAATGATTACAATACTATTCAAATTGATGTTAGTGAGAATGCAACAGATTCGGATATTATTCTCGCTTTCAGAATCAGTAGTTCCAACTATTGCAATTATCCGGACGAGTGCTTTACAATATACGGATCTTTGGTCCATCCTAATCCTACACATGATAACGCTGTTCAAGCCGAATCAAATTATAACCGCTATATAAGTTGGTCCAACTACTACATGTACTACTTTTATATACCCCAATCTACAAAACGCTTTTACTTGAGTTTCATCATCCAACGTTACTCGAACTCTGTTACTTGCATGGCCAATACTCTTGATGTAACTACAATGAAGCTCAATGCCGCCGAAAAAGAACCTACCATCCGTTGAGGATCCAATCTCGAACTTTTCAGCTAAAATATTTTTAATCCTTCCTTAAAGTAGTGTTCATGCTTAGTTTAAAGATGACCAATGCGCTACTTTTTCGATAGATGATGTAAAAACATTTAGTCGAGATATAATATAAACATATATTATCTGATTTATGTTGTGTGCGTGCTAACTACATTCGCAGTTATGGCACACGAAATGTTAATGAATGACGGCTGCGCATAGCATGACTGCAAAGATATTGTTACACCGCAACAGGGGCAGACAAAGATGTCGTTCTCATTGGAAATATCAATATCTTTACTTCCTAAGTAGTTGAGGCAGTGAATCCTCAACTATTACATAGTATGTAGCTCATCGGTTAACGACATTGAGATAGAACAAAGCTAATGCGTGTTCTATTCTAATCGAAGATAAACTTGACGAAACGAGGCATGTAATGATACTCATTTGTTTCCACCGATGATCATTAAATCATTCGTTATGGGTGTGAATGGGTGTGGGTGTCAGTGTTTAGTTGAAAAGTCGCACTCGCACGCGCACCCGCACCCACACCATTTTGAGACTGTGAAAGGCATGATCTTCCTCTTGGAACTTCATTTTAGTCTCGAATAAAAGCTCTCAACCAGATGTGTTTAGTTTTGAAAAGAAAATCCTGCATACTGTCAGAATCCGGAGATATTGGATTCTAAAACACCTCATTTCACAGAAAACGGAAAAGGCTGCAAAAGCTTCGAATCTTTTCTAAATACATCAATTTATAAATTGATCAAGGGGGAAACAGCGGAGACTTCAGCCGTGAAGTCCCGTGAAGTCTTGAAAGTCTTTTGAAGTCTTCTGGAGTCTCTTGAAGTCTCTTGAAGTTTTATGAATTCTCATGAAGTCTCTTGAAGTCTCTGAAGTCTTTGAAGTCTCATAAATTCTCCTGAAGTCTCATGAAGTCTCATGAAATCTTATAAAGTCTCAAGAAGTCCTACAAAGTCTCTGAAGTCTCATGAAGTCCGTGAAGTCTCATGAAGTCTCATGAAATCTTATAAAGTCTCAAGAAGTCCTACAAAGTCTCTGAAGTCTCATGAAGTCCGTGAAGTCTCACGAAGTCTGTGAAGTCTAACGAAGTCTAACGAAGTCTTTTGAAGTCCCATGAAGTCCCATGAAGTCATACGAAGTCTTATGAAGTCTTGCGAAGTCATTTGAAGTCCGATGAAGTCTTCAGAAGTCTTTAGAGGTCTTTTGAAGTCTTGTGAAAATATGAAGTCACTGCGGCTGAAGTCTATTGAAGTCTGTTGAAGTCTGTTGAAGTCTTTTGAAGTCTTGAAGCCCGCTGTTTCCCCCTTGAAATTGATCTATCTCCTGCAAAGCGACATTGTCAATCACCTTTCTATTCTATTTCAATTACTATAGGTAGAGCTACTGCGAAGCCTGAAGTTTTTCATAAGAACGTCGGGTGTGTGGCTGTTGGTGTGTCTCTTCTATTCTCTTACACCCGTACACCCCACACCCCTATACCCCACACCCACACCCACACCCACACCCACACCCACTCTCACACCCATTTACCCCTACCAACACCAGCACACATATCCACACCCATATTCGTACTCCCACCGATAAGCATCCACAGGATTCAGGCATCCAAGATGCGCTTTTTCTCACTTGAAGAGGCTAGTGTCGAACGCGGCTTGGATTCAAGGTTGTCGTATGCAGTATAGTTGGTTTATTTGCTTGGTTGAAATGTAAAAATTTCTTTTCAAGATTTAGTCTCATAACTACTACTCAGCTAGAATAAGATCTGTGGAAGCTACGTGTGAGCTGGCAGTCAAGAAATCAAGTCATAATTGTGTTTTCATTGAACGTTCGTTGCACAGAATACACAAAGTCCTTTATAGATCTGTTGCATTTCTTGCAAATCCCGTTCCATATGCCGCAATAGCCAGTGCCACATAAGTAAAAAAATGTCCTGCGACCGCCAAGTTATATGAATATCCAGCCTGAGCACCTTGTATCAGCGATAATAATTGACTTGGTGCAATATTTATATTGTACTGAACTATGGTTGTTGCCAGTGTGGTTTGTACACTCGAATAGAGATAATACCAGGAGATCGCATAACCACCGATGATGAAAATTGAAGCAAGAAAGAGTATAATAAGAGGCACGAATGTAACTCCAGTTGATGAAAATTTGATCACTCCTACAACAAGACAGACGATAATACTGAATCCTAATAAGATAATCCCAAATATCAGTAAACCAGCAGGAGTTGAAATGGGAGTTGATAGACTGATACAAGCACCAGAAGGGCCATCGTAACAAAATTTAAAAAAGCCAAGATATGCACCAAACGAAGTTGTATTATCAGTTGGAGTTATATTAAATGTACTTACTATCCAATTTGGGGTTGCAACCCCAATTATAACTAACAAAAGTGCCAGTAACGATAAAAAAGCACATGTTCCATAGATTATTTTCATAGGAGTATTCGTGAATTGCACCATTCTCTCGTCAGGTTTAGAACAGTTTTCGGAACAAATTATCTGATAATCTGAAATTTGGCATTAAGAGAAAGATTAGCATAATAACGTCTCCGAAGGATTCAACTGATTTCGGTGGGTAAAACAAAAGAGTCATTTTTACAATACGCGCTGTTCTCGTTTCTGTTCTCCAAACAAGACATCTTCTAACGATATGTTTACTACTCATCTGATGTCTTTTTTCTGACTCTAAATAAATTCATCAAAGTTCATGTGAGTGAAAGTTCTCGTTACACAATAGTGTCTTTTTTCTTTCGAATCCGTATAGTTCGTGCTACTTCAAAGGATCTCTGAACCTTTTTTGAGTAGAGAAATATTTCGTTCTCAAACAGGATAACAAAACTGATCGGATTTGATAGAATGTTTAGCTCCTAGACACAAAGACGGCTTTAGATGTCGGTGTGGGTGAGGATGAAGATGTGAGTGTGATGAAAGCAAACACTCACCCACAGCCCCACTCCGTCGTTGCGAGTGGAGATCTTGAATAAACTTAATGATATTGATGAAATGTGAGTCAATTGCTGCCAGAAATCGTCATGAAGGAAATTGTTATGAACTTCCGTCTGACTTTGAGCTTCTGGTCGATACACATGAAACAGTAGTACCCATGAAAACATAATTGATAAAAAAAAACGGTGAAGAAAGCGTTTTTGTTACCTAAGAACAACTTTTGCTGAATTCGTTCTACTTAGTAATCAAAGCGCGTTTGTTTGAAATGAAAAAGCGCGTTCTGTCGAGAGAAAAAGCATTCCAAAAGAAAACAAAAAGAGTCTTCAGAACGCGTTCTTCACCGTTTTTTTATCAGTTAGTTTTTCATGGGTACTGTTATTTCATGTTTATCAACCAGGGCTCAAAACCAGGCTGAAGCTCATAACAATTTCCTTTATGACGATTTCTGGTAGCGGTTAATTCATATTTCGTCGATGCCATTAAATTTCTTCAATGTTTCCACTCGCAACGAAATTGGAATTCACTCTACATGTGACCAACTGAACAATCTTAAAGAATGCGTCAGAACACTAGTTCGGTCAGAAGACATGTTTGGACAAAACAATAATGAAGGATTGGATACCGTAACCTGTATAAGCGCTGTTCACATAATCCACTTTATGATTTATCTGGGGAACATTAATAAAAAATAACAAATCATTTTCGAGGGAAATCCAAAGTACGGCTAAATCTAAAATAAAAGCATACTTTAGTTATGACATTTTCTTTTCTGTACGTCTCGATCAGTAAGTTCAAATCTATACGTCATTTTTTTATACGTCCAAATCTTTACGCCCGAATCTCGCACACATACCAAACTTGAAGTTTGAATTCATTTACTGAAGAGTTGAAATAACTTTCTTAGCGTGTAACTTCCTTCTATTTATGCGTCGCGTCGTGGGGGCGCTACGAGCCATCCGAAGAGTCTCTACCAATACTCGTCTCTGTGTACACAGTAAAGTCTAGCTTGGTTTTATGCTTAACATTATTTAATAGGACTATACATTAGGATGTATAGATTTGGACGTATAGGTTTGGACGTACTGATTTCGTCTTATTGATTTGGATGTATAAAAAATGACGTATAAAAAGGACGTATAAAAAAGGACGTATAGATGTGGGCGTACTGATTTGGACGTATAGATTCGGACGTACTCATTTGGGCGTATAAAAAAGGACGTATAGATTTAGACGTATTGATTTGGATGCATAGAGTACGCGAACAAGGAAGTTACTTTCAGCACTGGCAAAGCTCCCAGGAGTCGGGAACTCTGTGGGAATTGGGAACTCAAAAAATCAATTAACAAGAACGAAGGCTGAGAAGCTAAGGCACGTCAACGATATTAGGGAATTCTAAGATATCTGGGAACTCTGGGAATTCAGGGGACTCTGGGAACTCCGGGTGGGTGTGGGTGTCGGGGAGAATGTTGACCTATCATATGGTTTTACCCCCCCCCCCCCCCCCCCCCCCCCCCCGCCCCCCCCCCCCCACTCTCCCCGCCCGCCTCCCTTCCCGCTTCTCTCTTCCCGCTACTGCTCCCTCCACACCTCCTGTGACATCAGCTAAATATGC